ATCTTCCTTTTCTTCTTAGAAAAGTTCACAGCCACCATCAAGTGGAGCTTGTCATCCTCAGGGGTATAGCCAAGGCCAAGTGCTTTATTATCTTCCTCGGTAAGTTGATTCGGGAGGATCAACGTCGTGGGCCCCCTCTTTTCTTGGCCCTTAGGTTCTCTCCTCCCACTTTGGCCAGAGTAGACCCACGGCTTCATATGAAACCCACCGGCCTCAAGGATCCGCTCAACGTTGGACGTCATTTGCTTAAGTTGACCCTGATCATTATGGGAGGTGAGAACATCGTCCACATAGGTGTCTTCCTCCAGTATTCTACGCTCTTCTTTGAGGTGGCTGAACTTACGCAGATTAGCAGTCTCCCGCATAGCAACCTGAGCGATGCAACCAGCTGGTTTATCACCGATATTAACTCTTGTGATTGCATATTCATCAATGTTTCCACCCTCAAAGTCTCTCCAGAGAAAGCGATGAAGATGCACCTCCCGGTCTTCGAGCCAGACTGAATTATACATCTTCTTAATATCACCGAGTGCAGCGAAAACACCCTATCTGAAGCGCAGGAGGACCGCCCGGATGTTATTGAGGACGTCTGGACCCTTGATGAGAAGGTCATTTAAACTCTGGCCCTTGAACTTTTGGCTGCTATTCCAAACAAGGCGAACTGGAGTAGAAACAGAGTGGGGATTTGGTGCGATCAAATGGCTGATATACCACACTGGCCCAGTCCAGCTCTCTAACACCTCTCTTGGTAGCTTAATTGCGGCTTTCCTTTGAACCATCTCATGGACTTGCGCGCCGTAGGCCACCTTCCATTCCGGTTCCTTAGCCAATTGCCTCTCAGTCCTTAGAAACGTTGCCTCAACAGCCTTCTTATTATTTGGTAAAGAGGCTGGATCCTCTGTCCACGGGTACTTAGTGTGCCAGTGAGGCCCTTCACAGTGGTGATCTCCAGCTACATAAGTCAGCCCACTTTTCACCAGCTCCAGTTCCCGCTCCTCTGAGAGAGTCATCTCCTTCCCCCCAGGCTGGCACTTTCCACAACGGCAGCCTCCACACCGAGGCTCACAGGCAGCACCGATGCTGTCCCATCTCCACCATTCCAGGAAGTCCTGACAGACAGCTGAAGTGGAAGCCTGGATGGCTTGGGGGATATAAGCTTGTGTTTTGCAGGTGAGCTCTTTGTACCTTGTTGCTGCTGCCTGCATAGAGCGTGCGAAATGCGTCCTGGACGCATGGGCTGTGACAGTAACTTTTTCTAGTAGGTCCGGGTGCGAACCTGCTACAGTCTTGCCCAGAGGACCATCCCACAAGACAAGGTCCCCAACGGAACGTACTTTCTGAGGTACAAGTTGGCCTTCCTTGTGACTGATAGGAAGCTTGATTTGTGAGGGTCTAACCAAGTCTTGGAGGTGGACGTCAGGAAAAAACTTCTGCAGCTTCTTAGGCGACACGTGACGATGGACCTCCGCAATCCTATCAAGCCCATAGCACACAAGTTGATGGGATCTTAAGGTGCCTTTTGGTGTACCAACCCGGATCTTCAAGGGGTATCTCTTCGTTTTCACCGTGACTTGCATCCCTCCGACTCCATGAACAATCAACGTCACGTCCTCACTCCTCAGGTTCAACTCATCTGCAGCATCATGAGTGATGTAATTAGTGTCCGATGCCAGATCTATCAAGGTCCCGATCTTCTGCCCGGCATTCACAGTGACGTCAAGGATCATCATTATAACCGGGAACTCTTGAAGACCACTCTCTACCAACAAACCACACTCGGTTGCTGCCGAGTTGAGTGTCCTTGATACTGAATTGCAGAAGACATTTCGGCATTGTTGGGCTAACTCTGGGGACAGCTTAGTCAGGAAATCTTCCTGGGCGTCGGTACCCTTTCTGCTTCCTCCTTCTGGACTAGGCTTTGGCCTCCTCTGGAATGGGCCCTTGTTTCCAGACCTGGAGCACAGGTAGTAGTGATGACCTGGACCTTGTTTGTCTTTACAGCCTTCACTCCTGCACAGGTAAGTGGTCTTACACTCCTCCTCATCCGTATGGACCTCAAGACACCTTCCACATGCCCCAATCCTACTCGCCGCATCTTTCCTTTCCATAGGGTTTAGGGCTTTAAACTTCTTGCAGTAGTACAACTTCCTTCTATGGCCGCTCTCTCCACAGACGATGCAGCCCATTTGAGGACCCATGGACTTAGTGGCCCTCGTCCGGCCATGTTTTGGTGGAATCTTTAATTCCCTCCTGTTGGGATCATCATCCCTTAATTGCTCCAGTTGCTCATAAATCTCTTCTTGGCTTCTCAAAAATGTGAGGAGCTTGTCAAACCTATCTATAGGTCCAGCCTCGTCCTTTTTCTCTGCTGCGTAAACCAACCACTCCTTTTTCAAGAGCTCTGGCAGCTTACTCTCCAGTGACTTCGTGACAAGGGGATTTTTTAGAGCTCCCGTATCTCCCAGCTCGCTCAAGTCGTGTAGAGCCTTCTCGACCATCTGTATTAAATCCACAATCTTCCTGGGCTGATGGCTCTTTACTGGAAGTAACGATTGTAACTCATCAATGATCTCCAGAGCTATTCTGGTCTTATTTCCAAAGCGGTTTTCTAGAATCTGGAAGATCTCATCTGCTGTCCCATAGTTTGAGAGGCGAAGATCTGCCACCACTTTCTCCTCAAGACTGTCCAGCAGCTGAAACTTCCTAACCTCTTTGGAACCAGTAGGCTCTCCTTGCTTCTGGAGCGCCTCCCAATCCTTTCTCCAGCGGTGGAAGTTCCGCTTGTTTCCATCAAATTTTGGGAGCGCCGTCGGCCTCAATTTGATGCTAGCCACTTGGGGATAGTGGGTGGTGACAGGTTGCCCCTCTTGTTTACTCTTTGCCTGCATTAGGACAGCCCTCCCTGAGATCAATCTAGGCACGCAGATCTCCAGCTCCCTCATTCGACGCTGAAAAACCTTCTGCTCCTCGGGAGGGGCCCACCGGCACCACTGGCAACTAGCTTCCTTCGCAGCTTTAACTCGTCCTTCCAGGTGTCTGAGCATAAAGTCATACACGTCTAGCTTTAAATCAGGCTGGACAGCTGAAAGGCGCTTACATTCCTCTTCAGCCACTTCTAACGCCAGGGAAAGTTGAGGATCGCCAAACCTTCCCCAAAGGGCTTTTTGTATAATACCCTCCACCTCCTCCAGCTTCTGTTCACACTCTTGTGTTGTCCTTTTGATGTCTGCCCTTTGCTCATCCGCTACAGTGGACTCTTCCTCTCCATTCCACGCCTCAACGTAGGCAGCTTCCAACTCCTCGTTTACTTCAATTACCTTGTCCGATTCCAGTGTAAACTTACTTAAGGCCTCCCTGAGTTCTTCAACCGACATACTCTTACATGATCTGACAATCGTGTTAGCCAGTCGAGAAAACACTCTTTTAGCGGTTGTTCTCTCAGTTTCAGTTCTCAATTGCTGCAGAGTCCTTGATTCCGCCATGATTCCGTTGGGGCCTGGAGGGTTTGGAGCCTGGAGCGTTTGGAGCGTTGGGGCCTGGAGCGTTTGGAGCGTTGGGGCCTGGAGCGTTTGGAGCGTTGGGGCCTGGAGCGTTTGGGTCTGGAGCGTTGGGGACGGAACCTCAAGGCGGTTTTTCACTGCCAAGTATTTTGAGCTGCACAGGTCCCACACTTGAAAGGGGCTTCTTACTTCTGAATTGAACACTGGATACCACTCACAAGAATGAGACGTAATTTGCCTTTTCTCAATTTATTGTAGAATTTCAGTAGGTGAAAAACCTTTAAAACCACACAACAAACCAGTGTAAATATTTACAACAAAGCTCAAGTAAACAGCAATGCACATAAATTTAATCACCAAAATTTCACACTGTACACACACTGCTTATGCTGATTTTAATCTGGTAAGCATTAGCACCATACCATTTCTTTTTACTGTTTTACACTACAGCAAATACGCTTAAAAAGAAAATAGCTCTTATCACCAGATTTGCACTTTCAGTAAAGGAGAATTTAACTACGTTTACCATAATAAATATTTTAACAAATAAATTATACATTTTAAGAAAGTGAATTTTAGACAGAATTAATTTAAACAGATTGACTATATGAATTTCTTAACATACCTTTTTAAAATTACCGTTACCACTACTGCACGTTTAGACTCAGACTTAATCAGATAACAATTATAAACAACCCGGTAAGTCCATCACATGCACATTTACATGAAGCCACCACACGCAGGTGTTAGTGCATAGATTGCGCAATACATAGACGAATTCCCTCTTACCGGCAGTCTCTTCAGATGCAAAGCAATCCCGTGCAGTTTAAAATCAAAGTTTATTATCCAACGTTTCCACTGCGCCCACGCTGCTCACAGTACACAATGAAATGAGCAGCGCGAGCACTATTTCAAACCCAAGGCGCGTGCCACGCTGATTGAAACCAGCTTCACCTGGCGTTCATTCCCGTGTGACGAGAGGCGTGACAGCAGACAATTTGCCGCAACACCTCCCACTCGAGCATTCCGATTAACCAAGGAAAGGTCGCCGAACTTTAAGGCAAACCTGATCAGGGAGTCTGCTCCTCGCGCTGGGGATAATTACAGAAGATATGTTGCTTTTAATACAAAATTAGATAAAAATTAGGTAGGAGCTCAGCCAAACACGTTCTATTCCATCGCCTGCTCACTAGCGCCCCCCAGATTCCATGCGCTCTTTTACATTACGAGTATGGAGATCAGTGTTCCATGAAGAGTATGGCTTTTATTTGCTAGTTCAGAAGAATGCCACTAAACATTAGACTACTTTTATTACATTTAATGTGAGTTAGATTGTTTACTCATGCATTTAATGTAATCAATGTATTTATTATAAGTAAATGTCATACTACTGTTTTTGTCATACCTGTTGTAAAAATGTAATATGTAACCTCTTGTTTAATGGTGGATGAGTAATGGTATACACTCTTAGGCATTAATGTGGCTTCTTTTTTTTCCCAGGTATTATATCATCTTCATAAAAAAATGAAAAATATGTCCAAGAAGTCTGAGCGGTCAAAGCGAAAGGTAAGAGATTTGTTTTGTGAATATGTGTTCTTTTCCTGGTCTTGACAACATTTATTAATATTATGGTCTGTAAAACTGGGTTTTGTACGATTTTTACCGGATTTGATGGCAAGCTGGCATGATATTACCACAGTAATTTTGAAAATGCATGCTTTACTTGCATTTTTACTGTAGCGATAATCATATGGTCAGAGCAACCATGTGACTTTAATCAACTGGATTCTAATCAATAGAATCCCCCCCCCCCCCCCCCCCCTCATTCTTTGGATTATGACAAAGCATGTCATGGGACTTTTGTTAAGTTACCAATTCACAAACAGCTTATCTCTTCATGAACTGCACACAAAGCAAATGGGGCTTGGACTTGATTGAATTACTGACTCTGATTCACACACTGGCGTTTGCCACGAATGGTTAAACAAAGAAATGCATTGCTTATCACATGTGACACAGACATGTGACCAAAGGGCCCATCTTGGAATCAGAATCACGCGAAAGAACCCCTCCGAAGGTGACAAGACGAACATTGTCCATTCAGATAAGCGCAAAAACATGGAATCCCCCTTTGGGGAGGGAGGAGGGGGGGGGGGGGGCGGGGGGGCACCGTCTCAACGAACTCTGAATACACATACACACACACATACACAGAACAGAAGATGACCAAAAGTTCTCCGCGTGACCGACCGCCGGGTGAACTCGCTCACACACACACACGCACACACATACACGAGAGACAATCATTCTGAACACTATGATAAAAATCACCCTGTAAATGTGTGAAATGTTTTTCTGGTTGTGCCTCATGATTCCCTGGTGACAAAACTGGTATAACTGCATGTAAGCTTTTTACGATATGTGATCAATTTAACATCCGTTTAATCACGAAAAAAATCATGTATCTGCATTTTACTAAGCCCTAGGAATGCCGAACTTGGTATGGTTGTAATCAGAATAATCAAAGAAGATTGAATCATCAACCCAAAATGTAATATGATGCATGCTTTTATTAATACTAGTTTAGAAGTGTATTTCGAACAAGTTTTATCCACTATGCACATGACCCATGAAGGCGTGTACCTCGGGAAGCACAAGGTTTAACGACCCGCCTTCCTGCCAAACGATTGGATCAGACACGTGAGAAAGGCGTGTCTCGAGCTCCTTCAAAATAGACCGCCACCTTCTCCTCTTTGCAGTCTTTAGCCAGAGAGAGAAATCCCAAATTTCCTGCAAACTCCAGCTGGAGTTCTGCCTATTCTTTATCGTCGTTTTTCCTACTTTGTTTTAATCTAAGTTTTCTTTTATTTGATCTACCTCCGTTTGATAGTTGACTTCGGTCAGTGTATTTACGAACGAAACAAGCCTAAGATTTATCGTTTCTCGTACGGGCGCAGCTGAAGCAATCGCAAACATCTGCCTCCTACCGGAAGACGCTCCAGACACGCCAGCTACCGACCAGCCTCTGTAACACAGCCGCACGCAAAAGGGGACCGTTTTAAATCAAGTAACGTACGAATCTCAATTAAGTGCTGCTTAAGGTTGTTTAGATTAATGTTAGAATCCTTTGGGTCTCTGTTGCACTGTTGTGAACTGTTCTGTCTCTCTCTCTCACTCTCTCTCTCTCTCTCTCTCTCTCTCTCTCTCTCTCTCTCTCTCTCTCTCTCTCTCTCTCTCTCCCTCTCTCTCTCTCTCTCCCTCTCACTCTAACTGTCTCTTTTTAAATACCTCATATTGCAATCCTGTGTTAATTGTTTGTTTTGATATGCATATTATTTACTCCTGCGTGATTTTTAGTAGTCTATATAACCCTTAGTATTGTGTTATTAAATTCCATAATCCTTTGAATCGAATCTGTCTCATTGTCCCATGCTTGAAGTCTCTGTAATATGTCAAAGGTCTGTAAAGTTGCCAAAGCTCTACCTCGGTTAACTATTTTAAACATCTGAAAGTGCCGTATACGAGCAAATACTTCCGTGTGGCCACCGGAAAATATTCACTCGGTATACAGGCAGGTAATCTTGTGATATAAGGAAGTTTTCGGCTCCGGTCCGCAGGACGAACCGGGATGCATGACAAACTAATTTGGAATCACATGTAAATTGACCCTGATAATTAATCTGACTTAACTGACCTATATATCAATAATTACTACGATCAATCGTGTTAATTATTCATATATGGTAATGTTTAGTCCATTCCCTATTTGGGATAATTTAATTTATGTATGCGATTACATATTCATTATCTAATGAATAATATTCCCCATTTGAGTTAAATAATTTCCCCAAACAAACTCATTGTTGCTACATTACGTTCACAGACATAACCGACTGTGTTTATGTGAAATTTGTGCATTTTTGACATAACATTGTGTGTATTTGACAGTTTAAGCCAAAACTCTTAGGAGAACTCCTAGTGGTAAGATAAAAAAAAATTGGTGCATACGGCCCCATGTGTTTTTAAGTATTATTAAGTAATAAATATTGTGTAGTCTATAACATACATTAATCAAATATTATACCTACGGCTAATTCTAATCAGCTTCTAATTCTATTCTATTCAGATTCCCCTATTCGGATTCCCCTATCTATACACATATTTAAATCACATTTAAAATACTGAATACATATAGAGATGGATAATACAGAACCACCAAAGGTAAGACTAAGAAAGGCAAACAACCTTTCACCTGCACATCTCAGCTTGTTTTTCAAAATACCACTTGTTTGATATTTTGTTAAATAATGCAGTGACATTCATGTATTTTTATAATGTGGCTGTATAACCCCGTATAACATGTATAACCCTTCAAGAACATTAATAGTGCACAGCCTGAGCATTTCAGACATATTGACTTTCAAATCCGATATTTTAAATGCACTGCTTGGTTAAAACTGACAAATTCATGCATGTCATGTAACCATTGCATCTGTGGTTTTAGCTCCTTACTTAAGATAATGGTCCATAATAGCCAATACGCTCCAGAGTGGTCTCTTGTAACCAGTGGCGACCAAGCAGGGTGTAATGGGTGGCTGGGGTCAGAAGGGAATTCTAATAATGCTTTTAATCATTGTTGAAAGTAAGATTATCCTAACCTATGTTGGGATCTCATCTCACACACAAAAAACACTACACCTCAATGCAGTTATTTTTATGCTGAGCTAAATTTGACCTTTAATGTGAGAAAGATTGGTGTTATGGCACAACTACAAATCTGATATCTGTATCTATAGCAACAAATCAGTAAACTTGGATCCTTTTATAGTAGATTATGTATTCATCTATTCATGGGTATTATGGGGAAAATGTTGTTTCAGAACATGGATTTCATGTCGGTCAATTATAAAGACAATGAAAAGGAGTGATCGCTATCTCGCATGATCCATTGTGTAGTAAAAAAATTAATTCAGTCTGCAATGTACTGAAATGACTATAAGGCAGCAAGAGAGTCCAATAACTTGAAGAGAACAATTTTCACTGGTATTTATTAATTGTATTTATATATTTATTTTTTGTGGGTATAGGTCTGAAACAATTTCTTGAGAGAAACATGTGAAGTTCTAGCTAAAATATAACATAACATTTAAAATAAATGCTGAAATTGACTATATTACAATAAACTGCACCTATAGGAGCCTTCACACACAAATAAATGATTTAGCTGCTTGTTCAGTTTGCTCTGACCAATTAAACTGGACAGTGGATTTCTAGTTACCAGCTTCCTTTGCATGACTGCATTTTAAGTTGTGTTGTTTTTTGTTTTTGAGCAAAGGGGGATACTTGTTAGTGTTTAATGAGCAGTTATGCTGAGGTTCTTGAAGAGTAGGCCCTATCTGTTATTGCATAGCATTGTTTTGTCATCACCACATGTGATATGTACTGTACTGTGATCACAAGGACAAACACCAGGTGTAGTATGCCAAAGGAGAATATATGAGCTTTCTTAGCAGATGCTTTCTTACCAAACCAATCCATATGAATGTGAACATATCACAATGAGTAGAAGTGTAAGTTTGACTAAATATGTCTTGACACAAGAAGTTTATAAACAAAACAGCTTTAGTGATTCAATAAAAGGTCTGCTGTTTCGATTTCCCCTCCTACTTTAGTGGACAAAGATTAGCACTGAGAAAACTACCCATAATTCCATGCAGGGTTGTTTGAGTACTTCGTTGTTATTGCTATCTGTAGCTCTAATTGAGGGTCAGTGCTGTCACAGAGCCCCAAACAGCAGGATTAGACAGCCAGATGCTAAATTTTTTCAATTAGCCTATCTCTATTGGTGGTTACCATGCCTTTTATATATTTTTCCTTCTGCTTCTTGGTGAACGTGATTTCACTAAGTACATCATGGTCCTGGATCAACATGTTTGTTAATCCTGGAACAACATTCCAATCAACCAATCATATTTGAGGGACAAGGTTTTTTATTTATTTTTTAGTTTAGGCTTACAACCAGGTAAGCTTCTACATCAGTGTTATTCACCTATCCTTTCCTTCTGATTTTAGGGATAAGTTATGGGTAGGGTTAGGTTTAGTGGCAGGGATAGGGTTAAGAGCTAAATTTTCGGACAGGAATGTTGTTCCAGGATCAACAAAATAGAGAGGTGCAGGAAAGACGTCAGAACAAGGAAGACTAATTCACCAGTGGTTCCTTCCAGATTTTCCTATGGGGTTTTATAATGGGGTTTTTCAATTTAAATTTGAGTAAAATAAAGCCTGTTCTCATGTTGTAGAACTTATGTTGTTTAAAAAGAAATGTGAACGTCTCGGGTTATGACTGTAACCCTTGTTCCCTGAGAAGGGAACGAGACACTGCGTCGATACGGCACGGGGAACACCCTTAGCGTAACGCATCTTAAAGCTCCAGTCCGTAACTTTTTTGGGTTAAAAATGATCCAAAATAAATTTTTGAGCAAGTACATAACCAGCCAGTGTTCAAAACTATCTGCTTGCCTGAGCTCGATTCAAAACGGTAAGCTTTTAATAATGTTTTTAATTTC